GGCACTGGCCTCAGAGTCTAAAGACTCATAACAGAGAAAAGCTCGGGAGTCAGTCAAGCCCCGTGTGAGCTTTGAGCCTCTTCTTCTTCTTCTTCTTTTTTTTTTTTTTTGGGGGGGGGTATACTGGGGAATGAACTCGGAGTCACTCGACCATTGAGCCACATCCCCAGCCCTATTTTGTATTTTATTTAGAGACAGGGTCTCACTGAATTGCTTAGCACCTTACTCTTAGCGTACTTACTCTTTTGTGTGGGGGGTGGGGGCAGGGAAACTAGAGATTGAACACGAAGTGCTCTACCACTGACCTACATCCCCAGCCATTTTAATGTTTTATTTTGAGACAGGGTCTACTAGGTTGTCCTGGCTGGCCTGGAACTTGCAGTCCTCCTGCTCAGCCTCCAGAGTACTGGGATTAAAGCCATGTGTCCCCACATCTGGCACAGATGAAGTTTTCAAGCTTTGTTCAGAATAAGTGGTTTTCAGCAAACATGGTGGCACATGCCTGTAATCCCCACAGCTCGGAAAGCTGAGACAGGAGGATCTAAAGTTCAAAGCCAGCCTCGGCAACTTAGCAAGGTGCTAAGCAACTCAGACCTGCCTCTAAATAAAATAAAAAATAGGACTGAGGATGTGGCTCAGAGTTAGAGCACCCCTGCATTCAATCCTTAGTACGAAAGAAAGAACCTAGGTCCCCTCCAGAGAGGCTCCCAGGAACCCTGTTCCAGATTAGGGCAACTGCTGAACCCTGACCTTCTCCCCAGATCCCTGAAGTCTTGAGGACCAGGCACAAGCCAACATCCTCCTGTCCCTGTGCTGCAGGTTTCCCACATTGCTCCTGCAATCTTATCTGTGAAATGGGGATGAAAGCAATTCCTATTACTCTACAGACTGTTTTATTTATTTATTTGTTTGTTTGTTTGTTTATTGTACCAGGCATTGAACCCAGGGGTGTTTAACCACTGAGCCACATCCCCAGCCCTTTTTAATATTTTATTTAGAGACAGGGTCTCACTGAATTGCTTAGGGCCTCGCTAAGTTGCTGAGGCTGGCTTTGAACTTGTGATCCTCCTGCCTCAGCCTCCCAAGTCACTGGGATTACAGGTGTGCACCAGCACACCCCATTCTACAGACTTTTATCATGCACATGTATTCAAAGGCTACTACATGCTCAGGTCTTTTAAAAGCCCAATTTCTGTGTAGGATATACTTCTACTTTGTACAAAGCACTAAATTAGCTTTTAGTATTATCTTTTAATGCACGACAGGCTCACTGTGGTTACTGTCAGTGTGTCCAGCCACACTGGAGGAGGGAAAAGGAAGCACATTTTCCTCATAGAGATCCCTCCCTCTTCCCCCAGGCCTGGTCTCCAAGGGCCCGGCTGAGCCTGGCAGGCGCTCTGCACACACAATGGGCCTCTCTAAGCAGCAGGCAGAGGCGTGCTGGCTGCCAGCTTGCACCCAGACTCTGTCACAAACACATCCCTGCGGCTGAGAACAGGCTCTGAACATTTGTGCAAATCTCTGACCTAGCAGAGGAAAGGTCCCAGCAGCTGGGCTGCTGAAGCACGGCTGAACCCCCAACTTAAGGAATGAGGGCTCTGGCTGGCACCTGGAGTTTGCTAGCCAGACCTGTTCTTCCAGGACATTCTCCAGGAATTCTGTACCTACCAAGCCCCAGGCCCCAAGAAATTTGCCCAAGCTGCCTTGCCAAGTTCACATCCAAAGGACAGGCCATTCTTCCATGGTTCCTTGGAAGTGGCCTCAGAAACAGGTCAGGAGTGAAGAAATTCTGAACAATGTGGATGTGATGTGCTCCAGAGGGGACCTCGGCCCAGAGGGGCTCCCAGGAACCCTGTTCCAGATAAGGCAACTGCCGAACCCCGACCTTCTCCACAAACTCCCCGAAGTCTCGAGGACCAGGCACAAGCCAACACCTTCCTGTCCTTGTGCTCCAGGTTTCCCACACTGGAAAATCAGAGATTCTTCATTTTATTTCATTTATTTATTTATTTATTTTTGTACCAGAGATTGAACCCAGGAGTGTTTAACCACTGAGCCACATCCACAGCCCTTTTTTATATTTTATTTTGAGACAGGGTCTGGCCAAGTTGCTCAGGACCTCACTAAGTGGCTAAGGCTGGCTTTGAACTTGCAATTCTCTGGACTCAGCCTCTGGACCTGCTGGGATTACAGGTGTGCACCACCATGCCCAGCCCAATTCAGAGATTCTTGGGCCCAGTTCCTCACCCACACACCCCACCCACCAGCTCTTAGTACTGCCTTAGGTGGAATTACTTCAATCTGCTGGGCCAGGAAACCAGGTCAAAAGAGAATTCAGCCAGGCAGTGGCACATGCCTGTAATTCCTAGTGGCTAGGGAGGCTGAGGCAGGAGAATCACGGGTTCAAAGCCAGACTCAGCAAAAGCAACGTGCTAAGCAACTCGGTGAGACCCTGTCTCTAAATAAAATACAAAATAGGGTGGGGATGTGGCTCAGTGGTCAAGTGCCTGAGTTCAATCCCTAGTAAACCCCCCCCAAAAAAAAAAAAAGAATTCAACTAAGAAAAAGCTGGGAAAAAACAACAATAAGACCATAATCACAGGGCTAGGGCTGGGGCTCAGAGGTAGCGCACTTGCCTGGCATGTGTAAGGCACTGGGTTCGATTCTCAGTACCACATATAAATACATAAATAAAATAAAGGTCTATCAACAACTTTAAAAAAAAAAAAAAGAACATAATCTCTTTCCTCTTCTCTAGGTCTACAGAAGAATCTACCAAGAAATGATCTTACCCTTTGAAAAAATCTCAGAACATATAAGTTAGAGACTGAGAGCTGGAATGGTACACTGGTACTTCTCTTCCGTACTGCATCTGGGGTAGACATTGCTAATCAACTCCAGATCGTTTCTGCTGAGCCCAGACAAGACCTCCCAATCCTCCCAAATATGGGACTCTCAGTAAGCTACCAGGGGAGCTAACACTCTAAATGAAAACTGTTGGATGTCCCTTCTGATTCATCACAGTGCAGACAGTATTTTAATACTAAGAATTGATTTTCAGTTTGCAGGGAGGAAACAGTGTTTATGTTTTGTTTTCCCCAAAAGCCTGGGTCTGGCTGTACTTCTGACCCCAATGCTCTATATACCAGGCAGGAAGTACCTATCGATGAATGTTTCTTGACTTAGTGGGAAGAAATGGAGTACTTGGGTTACAAGGACAGTCTGGATATCAGCTCCTAAAATCAAGAGATGCTTCAAGTGTCAAACATTCAGAGATACTTCCTTCTCTAAATGATGTACATGCTAAGTACCCTGACATTGATGTTCTCAACCTAAAGATAAGAAGGGTGAAGGGATCTCAGTGTGGAATCGACATGTGGCTACAGGCCAGGCATGGAGACACACCAGCGTCCCAGCTACTAGGGAAGCTGAAGCAGGAGGATCAAAAATTCAAGACCAACCTGGGCAACTTTGTGAGATCCTGTCTCAACATAAAAATAAAAAGGGTTTTGGCTGTAGCTCAGTGGTAGAGGGCTTACCTAGCATGTGCTAGTCCCTGAGTTCAATCCCCAATACCTCAGTAAAAAAAATAATAATAAAAAAAGAAAGAAAAGAAACATAGCTACAGTAGAAATTTTACCATCTGTAGACTAAATTTTCAAATAGCAGAAACTAAAAAAAGCTTTCAAGTCAACTAAAATTTGACATTTCAATGAATGTCAATTGTTTTAAACTGCACTGCTGGCTATAAATATCAAAGTAATAAGGCATCTGGGGGAAAGCCTCTTACATTCATATCACTTATGTATGACCCTATATTTGACTTAGCTATTAAAAGGTGAGAGGTAGAGGCTGGGTGTGTGGCTCGGGAGCAGCACACCCCAGCACCCACGAGGCCCTGGGTTCAGATACATAATGTGATTGATAACACTGAAGATTTTAGGGTCCAAGGCTCTCAAGTCAGCCCTTTTTAAGTATGAAAAGAAAATGCAACAGCAGCACTTATAGATATTCCCAAAATATAAAAATAAAACAAAATCAAGTGGGAATTAAGGTCATGAGTGTGCCAAGATCACCAGAGGCCCACAGCCTGTTTGCTTCGATGGCCTCTTGGAGGGGAAACCAAGGCAATCTAGTGGGGTCTGGACCTGGGACTCAGCCGAGCAGCTCTGCTGGCCCTGGCCTCTCCATCAGCCCCTGCCACCTCCCTGTGCCTATTCTGGGCAACGAGCCAAGACACATTCCTCAGCCCCCCATGGTCTTCCGGAGCTGGCAGAGTAGAGTCAGAGGAAAGGGCTGAGCAAAGCAGAAAGCTCCTGACAGAGATGGCAAAGACAGACACGGGGCAGCCAAGCAGGAGGCCCGCCACACCAATGGGGAAACTGAGGCCCAGAGAAGGCAAGAGTCTCATCCAAGACCACACAGGGACAGTGGAGAATGCTACCCCGCCACAGTTCCTGCCACCAAACTCATCTCTATCCTTGGAGGAGGGATTTGAGGTCTTGTTACCTAATGGCCAAGTTCTCCCCGAAAGGAAAATGGATCTCAGGATTTTAGGGCCCCTGTGTGCCAGAAGAACCAAGAGTTCAAAGCTCCCCAGGCCCTCTGGGAAGGCATCTCAACTGTCCCTTCTCCAGTCCTCACTCCTCTCCCTCACTGGGTTGTGCATCCCACCTTGTACCTTTTGTCCTGTACAACAACCCAGGAAGGCAAGAGCTATAACCCCATTTTACAGATGAGGAAACTAAGGTTCAAGGAAAAGAAGTGATTCATCCAAGGTCACAATGCTAGCAAGTGGGCCAAAGGAACTGCAAACCAGGTCTGATCAGCTCTGTGCTCCACCAGCCCACGCTGGCTCCAGGCAGGTTCCAGGTTCAGTCTCTGTTTTCTGCTACCTCCCATCCCTCTAGGCCAGGCTGAGGCCGCTTCAGGCCTGGGGGAGAGAGGAAGGAATTCAACACCCCTGCCCAGCCCTCCGGGCTCTAGACCCCAGCACTCACCCTCCAGCACCACCTCCTTGCCGGTCTTCTTGAGGGCCTGCACCGCCTCATCATGGGTGGCAGAGGACAAGTCTTCACCATTCACCGACAGGATAGCATCCCCCACAAAGAGGGCCTCCGTCTGGTCTGCGGCCAGTCCCTTAAAGATCTTGGAAATGAGAATGGGCATCTTGTTCTCCCGGCCTCCTGCACAGGCACAGAGGAGGAAGACAGTGAGGCAGACACTCCAATAATTAGGAGTCACACCAAGGTAAAATTACTTCTTCTTCTTTTATTATTTATTTATTTATGTATTTTTTGGTACAGGGGATTTAACCCAAGGGTGCTTAACCGCTGAGCCACACCCCTAGCCCTTTTTTATATATTAGAGACAGGATATCACCTAGGGACTTGCTAAGTTGCTGAGGTTGGCTTTAAACATGGCGATCCTCCTGCCTGAGCCTCCTAGTCACTGGGAAGGTAAGATTACTTCTGAAGGGCTCCCTCAGTGCCCAGCCAGTGCTGGATCTTTTGGTTAAATGTTTGCATGTTCACCACTGTTGGAGTAACTTCAATAGTTCTTTCTTGAGTTAAATATTTTGGATTTTAATCAATTTTCCTACAATGTGAAAACTCGCTGAAACCCTCTGATCTGGAATTAAGATAGAAGTCAGTGATTGCTATGGCCCCAAATACCTCCTCAGCAACCATAAAGTTTTGCAATCCAAGCTTCAGACCAGAAACCAAGGCCTAAGATACTAGGGATTTCAGAGCCAATCTGAATTTCACCTCTGATGCAAACAACTCTAATACATTTTACTGAATTGCTTTATTGCTAAACTCTTTTATTTTTTAATTGTCAATGGATTTTCTATTTATTTATATGTGGTGCTGAGGATCAAAACCAGGGCTTCACACATGCCAGGCAAGTATACTACCACTGAGTCACAAATCCAGCCCTACTTAAACTCTTTTTTTTTAAATATTTTCTAAGTTGTTGATGGACCTTTTTATTTTTTATTTATTTATATGTGATGCTGAGAATTGAACTCAGTGCCTCACACATGCTAGGCAAGTAGTCTACTACTGAGCTACAACCCCAGCTCCTATTGCTAAACTCCTAAATGGCTTTTTAAATAATAAATAGTAAGAACAGCCAGGCCTATGGTGCATGCCTATAATTCTAGCTACTGGGGAGACTGAGGCAGAAGGATCACAAGTTCAAAGCCAGCCTGGGCAACAGTGAAACTCATCTCAAATTGGAGAATACAAAAAGGGCTAGTATGTAGCTCAGTGGTAGAGCACTTACCTAGCATGCTTGAGGTCCTGGGTTCGATCCCCAGGACTACCTCCCCCCCACAAAAAAAAAAGTAATAACAGATATCAGATAACATGAGTTCAGCCTAGTTACACATATCAAGTCTATAATGTACTATTGTCCCTCCACATCTTCACAACACCCCATCAACAGGCAGTGTGGAAACAAACCCCTTGACCAAGGTCACCTAGCTAATAAGTGGCAAAGCCACCAAGTCTCCTGGCTCCAGAACCACACTCTTAACCCTATGGTAGACTGCAAGTCAGGCCCTGAAATTTCATACTCCTGGCCTATCCTAGGAGTACTAAAGATCAGGAACTAATCACTAAGAGCAGAAGGTCATTGTTCCAAGGTCACATAAGTTGGTGGCAGAGCTAGAAGTGGAACACCTCACCTGATCCCCACACAGGCCCAATAGTTAGCTCAAGGCCAGATCATGATTGACAAAAAAAAAAAAAAGCTTGAGGTCTATGAGCAGAAGGGATTTCTATTTATATCTGCCCTCCCCTACCTAAAACTAAGAATGTGGGCAGGGATGTAGCTCAGTGGTAGAACACTTGCCTAGCACGCACGACATAAGAAAAGGAAGGAAGCCAGGGGTGAAGGGAGATACAAAAGGAGATAAAACTAGGGACTTCAGTTTAGTTTGAAGTTATGATATTCATGGCTGCCTTGGATTCAGCTGGACCCCAGAGTATAGATCACCACGGTGACAAGAGCCCCGTCTCCATCCACAAGGAATTGGATCGAGCTGGTATTTCCCTTGAAAGCCTCCTAAAAATATCCTCACATCCATCTGTAAATGCAGAGCTGGGGAGTAACTTTGTGTGCCCATGGAAAGATCCTGCTCTCCTGAGAGTCAAGTTTGCCCATCTGCAAAATGGAACTTAAAAGTTTCTTTCCAGCTCTGACACTCTGAGTGTACAACTTTGGGATGGGTTTGTTGCCCTATCCTATGCTAAAGTTTGGGGGTTAGATGGGTGTCCACTCTCTGATTTCCCCCACTTCCCCCATTAGACCCTGTGGGTTAGCTGCCTGGGGATGTGTCCTTCCATTGGGAAGAACCAACTCCTATATGCTTTCTAGGGGAATCATAGTCTGATAATTAAGGTTCAAATCCCAGCTCTGCCAATCACGGACAGTGGGATCCTCTGAAAATCATTTTCCTTTTCTGAGTCTCAGTTGCTTCTCCTGCAACATGGGGATTATGTCCACTACCGTTCATCACTTGTTGCCAAGGTGAAGTAGATAATGAGCCAAGTGTACTTTCATAGCACTCAGGACATAGTAGTAGCATTCACTATCATTCCCGCCCCCTCACCCAGGCCAAAGGGTTTGGCAGCACCAGTGAACACAGCCAGCACCAAGGCAGGCAGCCTGGGAGGGGACAGTGCACAATCAAGGTGACAAAAGGACTGACACCCTTTCCCAAGGCAGCCTGCTGAGACCGGAGCTGAGATTCTGACTGGCAGATGGACAAGAATGGTGAACCCAGCTACTGGGGATATGAAGGGATTTTAAGCACCGTGGTTAGCTGCTTTTGGAAGTCCCTCCTGGCCTCCATGTTCCTCTTGTCTAACAGCAATAATAAACCAAGCACTTCAAATGTGCTGGCCCCATTCTCATAGGAACATCACAACTCTATCATCACCTTCATTATACAATTGAGGGAACTAAGTTTCAGAGATGGGAAGTTACTTGTCCAAGTTCACTCTGCAACCCTGGACTCCAACTCATTCTGGTTGACCCTAAAGAAGGCTGTCAGCCTTAGGGGCTGAGAGCTCTCCAGGAGGAATGGCAACTCTGGGTCCACCCTCTCCATCCTGGGTAAAGCAGAGATGGCCAGGTCAGGAGTCTCAAATCCAGTTGTCACAGCTCCCTGCTCAGGTACAGAACCTTCCTGGGGCCTCAGATATCTAGGTCCTCTCTGGCCCCACCAGCATCACCTGTGCCTGCATCTACATCTTCTACTCGAGTTTCCCAGACTCCTCGCCTTGCCCCACCTTGGTTCTCCCTCTGGGACTTGCCCCACCTTGGTTCTCCCTCTGGGACTTGCCCCCAGGCCTCAACCCTCTTTCTCCCCTGTCTGCTTTTCTGGGGCCCCTCTTGTCCTTGATGCCCACCCTAGTTTGCTCCTTTCTGACTCCTATGGCTCCTACCCATGTGTCCTTGGCGCACCCGCGATCTCCTCCACAACTGTGCCTGGCGTGGCACCCTGAGACCCCCTCCGACCTTGATGCTCTGAGTGCCCTGGGTTCCCTCTATCTCCTTCGACTCCCCTTAGCCCCAGACAGAAGGCCTCCAACTCCACGTTCTCCGTGCACTGCCAGCCCCCGCGACCCCTGCGCCCTCGGCGGCCCCACAGACACCGCGACCCGGTGCCCTCAGTGCCCCGCGCCCACCTTTGATGCTGATGCCCAGCCCGCCGGCGTCGGCCTTGCGCACCGTCACGCGGCGCCGCTGGAGCAGCAGCGCTTCGGGCAGCTGCGGGGGCGCTGCGCCCGGCTCGGTGGCGCCGTTGAGCTGCGCGGGCTCCGGCTCCCGTGGAACGCCGGGCTCGGGGCCGGGCTCGCCGTCGGCGAGGCTCACGGTCAGGGCGTCCTCGGTCAGACTGAGCAGCACCCGCTGCCACTGCTCGCCGCCGGCCCCCGAGCCCGCCCCGGCGCGCAGCTCCAGCAGCCCGGTGCGCGGGGCACGCCTGCCTGACGCCATCTTCGCCTCCGAGCCCCCCGGCCTCCGCGCTCGCCCGGTCCCGCCGCGCCCGGCCGCCTCCAACCGAGGGCCCAGGGCAGAGGGCAGCGGGGGCCCGGCTGGGCCAGCCGCCACCCTACCCCGGGCTGCTGGAGGCGGAGCTTCGGGGGGCGTCACTGGCTCGGGGTGTGGCTAATACCCGGGGGCGGGGCAGGGCGGGGCGGGGCCCCCTGCCGGAGCAAAAGGCTGAGAGGAGGCCCGGCTTCCTAAGGACTTGGGGCAGGACCGCTTGGAGGGTGGGACTAGAGGCGTCGGGGCGGGGCCACAAAGTAAGAGAAGGAGGCCGATGAGGGGTGGGTGCTGGGTGGGGTCCTCGGGGGGCAGGGCTTCATGTCAGGGGCGGGACCCAGGGATCCCGGGATGGAGGCTCTGTCCTGGGAAACGCTGTCGAAGGACCCAAACCGTTGTTCACGGTCTTGGAAACACAATGAAAAAAAGACAAACTCTGGGTCCTGGTGCGAGGGGTTGGGCGTCTGGGCAGAGCCACGTGTGGCGGAGCGCTGAACTCCAGGGACTTCGCCGTCAGGTTTGCTAGTCGGGGAGTTTTCAGAAGTTGGTTTCCCATTCTGGTGTCTGGGCTTCGGTCTATTTGCCTGACTTAGTGTGAGGTGCAGCTTCGAAAGGTAGCAGGCCCTGCCCATTTGGAAGGAGATAGTCGCAGACTCCATTTAGAGTTTGAAGAGGGATTGAACTCTTACAGACTGGAGAGGAGCCAGGAGTGGTGCGCATGCCTGTAATCCCGGAGACTCTGGAGGCTAAGGCAGGAGGATTGCAAGTTCGAGGCTAACGTCAGCAGTTTAGAGAGACCCTCAGTAATTTAGCAAGACCCTGTCTCAAAAGGAAAAAAAAAATTTTTAAAAAGCACAGGAGATGTAGCCCTCAGTGATAAAGCACCTATGGGTACAATATCCAGTACCCCCCGAAAATAACAAAACTGGAGGGGAGTTTAAGAAATTAACACCCCGGGCTAGGACTGTGGCTCAGTGGTAGAGGGCTCACCTAGCACGGGCGGGACCCGGGTTTGATCCTCAGCACCTCATAAAAATGAAGGCATTGTGTTATGTCCATCTACACCTAAAAAATAAATATTTAAAAATATAAAAAATAAAGAAATTAACACCCTGCTGTGTTCACAGTTGAGTAAAGAAAAGCTCAAAAGCCCATATCGGGAGGTCTAGCAAGAGAATCCAGAACTTCCGATTTGTGAGAGGTTTGCAGGGTTGGATGCTCTTAGATTTAGACGTCTGGAGACCTAATGTTGAATGCTTGCCCAGAAACTCTGTCAACTCCAAGTTGACCTTAGTCCCTGAACTTCACTTCTCTGAGTCTTGATCTCATCTATGGAATGGGAATAATAATTATCCCTATCCTGCAGGACTTGTGTAGGGATTGAATCGAAATGAAAATGCTTCCTAAACTGTGAATGTCTATACCACTGATACAATCACTTTCATTATATACTTACTATGGCCAACTGCAGCACTGAGTTTTTTTCATGTATTATCTTTATAGTCACTTCATGAAATCTCTACTGGAAACCCACATTATACAGCCATTTGCCGGTCTCCGTTGCCCCTGCCTGCAATCCCAGCAGCTCGAGAGAATGAGGCAGGATTACAAATTCCAGCCTCAGTAGTTTAGGGAGACCCTGTCTCAAAAAATAAAAAAGGCTGGACACAGTGCACACTCCTGTAATCCCAGCAGCTCTGGAGGCTGAAGCAGGAGGATCACGAATTCAAAGCCAGCCTCAGCAAAAGCCAGGCGCTAAGCAACTCAGTGAGACCGTTCCTCAAAATAAAAAAAGGACAGGCGGTGTAGTTCAGTAGTAGAGCACTCCTGGGTTCAATCCCCAGTATTAATTAAAAGGGCTAGGGAGTAGCTCAGTGGTGGAACTACCTACATCCAATCCCTAGGATGGAGAGGGTGGCTAGAAGAAAAAACTTGGATTGCAAGGTCTAATTGGCCAGGCTGAGGCTGTGGCTTAGCCATAGCACACTTGCCTGGCATGTGTAAGGCACTGGGTTCAGTTCTCAGCCTCGCATATAAATAAATAAAATAAAAGTCTATCAACAACCAAGAAGAAGAAAAAAATTAACAACAACAACAAAAAAAAAACGGTCTTATTGGCCTAGGTCACACATTTATGAGCAGGACAGATCTGGGATTCAAACTGAGCCATGCCAATGGCTGGGCATGGAACTGCTCTACTGAGTGTTAAGACAGCTGCTGAATATGAAATAAGGCCTGATTTTTATCAGAAAAAAATCTCACCACATCACACACTACAACTGGCCTTCTCCATCTCTGTCCCTTGTCTCCATCTTTCACTCCCAGCTGGAACATGTTGGACAATAAATAGGTAAGGCCATACTATTATATAGATTCTCTGCACCCTTGGGTAGAACCCTCCATGTAAAATACTATCAAGGAAATAAAGAGAAAACATAAGAAAACAGGCACATATACAGTTGTCCACAATAAACTTATCCACAAATCACCAGACACAAACCAAAGTGTCCAACAATAGCTCTTTACCACTGGAAATCCCCTGAGGCCATGCATTTATGTCATTTATTCAGTATTTGTTATATAACAGCACATGAGTGGGCTGATTTATATACATTGTCATTTAACCCCCACCTAAACTGCCCGCATGGTGCATACTTGTAATCCCAGCTACTTGGGATGCTGAGGCAAGAAGATCCCAAATTCAAAGCCAGCCTGGGAAACTTAGTGAGACCCTGTTTCAAAGTAAAGATGAAGCCCAGTGCAATGGTACACACCTGTAATCACAGTGATTTGGGAAGCTGAGGCAAGAGGATCCCAAGTTTGGAGCCAACCTCAGCAATTTAGCAAGATCTTATCTCAAAATAAAAAATAGAAATGTTGGGAATGTAACTCAGTGGTAGAGTGCCCCTGGGTTCAATTCTTTGTACCACACACATACACACACACAAAAAAAAAAAGTAAAAATAAGCTGGGCATGGTGGCACACACCTGTAATCCCAGCGGTTCAGGAAGCTGAGACAGGAGGATCACAGGTTCAAAGCCAGCCTCACTCAGAAACAGCATGGCTCTAAGCAACTCTCTAAATAAAATACAAAATAGGGCAGGGTATATGGCTCAGTTGTCGAGTGCCCCTGAGTTCAATCCCGGTACTTCCCCCCCCCCAAAAAAAAAAAAGAATGAATGCTTGCCTAATATGAATGAGACCTTGGGTTTAATCCCTATACAATGGGGGTTGGGGGTTGCGGGGAGAATAGACCTCTATTCTTACCTGAGTCTATCTGGCTTCCAAGTTCATATACCTCCTGCTTTTTTCTGAAGCACACATAGTAGGAGGGGATGGTTTTACAATTCATTCATTCAACAAGTATTTACGGAGCAGCACAGAGGTGCACACCTCTAACCCCAGCAACTCAGGAGGCTGAGGCAGGGGGGGCACAAGTTCACGGCTAGCCTCAGCAACTTAGCAAGAACCTGTCTCAAATTTAAAAGGGCTAAGGATGTGGCTCTTGGTTCAATCCCAAGTACTTCCAAAAAACAAAAAATATTTATTGAATAGCCACTCTGTGTCATAGTGCTAGGTGTAGAGATTAGTCATAAAGAAGACACACAGGGTCTCACCTCACAGAGCATACAATCCAGTGGGAAGAATGTTCTCACAGTGATGAAAAGGATATGTTTGGCCCAGCACTGTGGTGCACACCTGTAATCCCAGTGACTCTGAGGCTGAGGCAGGAGGATTGCAAATTCAAGGTCAACCTCAACAACTTAGTGAGGTCCTAATTTAGTAAGACCCCATCCCAAAATTTTAAAAAAATTTTAAAAATGCTGTGGGTATAGTAGTAAAGCACCCCTGGGTCAATCACTAACTATATATATATATATATATATATATATATATATATACACACACACATACACACACACACAATACGTACACACACACATATATGTACATATTCTAATTATTTTGGGAGACAAGCATCAACTAAATAGCTTTAATGTAGACAACTAAGTACTAAGTGTCAAAACAGGGGGAAACATAGGTTAATTTAAAAAAAAAATCAAGCCAGGCATGGTGGCACATGTATATGTAATCCCAGATACTCAGAGGCTGGAGGCTGAGGCAGGAGGATCTCAAGTTCAAGGCCAGCCTGAGCAATTTAGTGAGACCCTGTTCTCAAATTTTAAAAGGGCTGGGGATGCAGCTTTTTTGGTCTAATGCCTCTGGGTTCAATCCCTGGTGCAGATTTTTAAAAAAGGATCATGTTCTGGCATATATATGATATATGGAAGAAAGAAATGGGGAGGACTGCGGGAGGAAAGAAAGAGAAAAGGAAGGGAGGAAAGATAGGAAGGATGGGAGGGAAGTGGGAAAAGGAGGGAATTCGATTACATATGAGCACTGATACTTCAAAAGCATGATTTTGCTTAAAGATTGTACAACAGCCTGTGAAGTTGGGGGCAAGAACCTAGGATCAGCGAGAGAATCCCATCCTACTTGGCTTCTGGAAGCTTCCCTTTGATGGTAGAGAAGGGACAAACGGAGACAGCAGGCAGGAGACGGAAGGAAGCGAGGCTCCTTTCCCAGGACCAAAGCCTGGAACCAGATTCTTAAAAGTCCCCCCACGTACTGCCCTGCTTAAAAGAGACTTAATAAGACCCAAGCAAACTTAACGAGAAAGAGCCCGGGAGGAAAGTCCGCCCCTGGGCACCGTTTCCTGTGAATCAATGGAAGGGGAGAAGCGGAGGAGATGTGTATGCAGGGAGCTGGCAGAGAAGGAAGAGCAGGGGAAAACAGTGGCGTGTGCACACGTGTGTATGTATGTGTATGGTACATGCATTGCACGTGCACATGTCCGTGATCACACAGTAGGGGCAGTGCCCGTCACCTGAGTCGTGCCAGCTGTCTCGGGAACCTGTAACTGAAGTAACACTGTCTTCTTCCCTTGGTCAGCTGATCCTTCTCTGCTGTGACTAACAAATTGCCTCCCTCCACGGCCACAGACCTGGCTCCCCACCAAACCCCAGACAGAGCTTCCAGAGGCAACCTGTTCACTCTGAAGGAAT